TTTATTTTTGTGGATGTTATCAGTACGAATATGAGCAATGTAAATAAACAATCTGTTTACTCAAATACTTTGCGCAATCAAATAAATCAAAGACGTTTGTTGATGTTTTGCAATATCTACATTTTATCTTAACACCTTTTGTTTTTTCAATATTCATAAATATTGATATAATTATGTAGATTGCTGGGGTAAATCTATATTTCGTATATAATTTGACAATCTGTATTTGAATTTAAGACTGCAGATTTTTTTTATATTTTTTTAATATTTTCGTTATATTCAATTTCAATTCAGAAATAAATTTCAGCAATGCTCTGTGTAAAAGCTTTTTTACTGGTACTGGCAATCAGTATAAAAACTAAATACCGTTTTTGCAAAGCTAGGCTAGGCTAGTCCTGTCTTCACCGAATAGTAATCAGAACATCTTTCCATTAATAGGAATCAAATGTTTTTTGAATCATTGAAATCGGTTGATCCGTACGCCCGAAATCGTGCACGAAAAATTGTATCCAAACATACATACACACTCACACTCACCAAAATGTTCAGAAACCTTTGAAAGATATGCAAAAAATTTATTTTCGATTTTATTGCGATTACTATATCTTACCCTAGGAAAAGTTAAATATATTGCCGTATGTTTTTAGGAGTATGGAGTGGACATCTATTAGAAGATTTAGGTTTATCCTTGCCTCTGATTCCTATGAAGCACGCTTATATCGTTTCGGAACCTATGGGTGCGCAAGGATTACCAAATATAAGAGATCATGATGCGTCAGTTTACTTCCGGATTCAAGGAGAGAGCATTTGTATGGGAGGATATGAAACCGATCCTATACTTCTTGGAAAGGTAATATTCATATTTATATATAATTAATAATAATAATAATAATAATAATAATAATAATAATAATAATAATAATAATAATACATAATAATAGTAATGATAATCTCCAGTGTCTTCAAGTGCCTCGTTGACGAGTCATTCTCCGTACAGGTTGAATAGGATCGATGACATGCAGCAACCTTGTCCCCTAATTCACTGGGACTTTCACTTTTTCTCCCATGTACAGATTCTGGATCACCCTGCAATCTCTTCAATCGACCTTATTAGACTTCATAATTCTCATAAGCTTACTCCATTTCGCTCTGTCAAAAGCTTTCTGCCAATCTATAAAACAAAACATATGTCCTCGTTAACACCGGGACATCTATCCGCACTATCCTCAATATTCTAACAGCGTCCCTGATGCCTCATTCTTATTTGAAACCAAACTGATTTCGCTTATGTGCTGCTCGATCTTATTATCTAATCATTTCGTAAGGATTTTGTCCAGAGCTTTTCATACGTTTTTTATTGTGTTTTCAGAACCTTTCAACTGATCTTCGCTCATGTGCTGCTCGATCTTATTATCTAAACGTCTCGTAAGGATTTTATCGAGAATCTTTCTTGTGTGCGAAGTCAAACTGATCGTCCTGTGGCCGCTGCACTTTTTTGCTTTGTGCTTTTTCTGAAAATTTTCATCATGACACCCAAAAGGTCCTTTGGTCATCGTCCGTTCGGTATATTTAGTTCAACAATTTGGTCAGTTTCCTTAATCCGTTGTTGCCCAGCTCTTTCAGCAAGTCCGCCGGTATGTCCTCATCTTCAGTTACTTTCTTTCTTCTGATATCATTTATTGCTCACTCTCGACTTCGCTTTTCAATATGCTTATATATATATATATAATATATATATGTATACAATCATAAACTCAAACTATCAAAAATAATCTATCACCAATTTAGGTGATATGCAGAGCGTATGCTCGCAATTAACCTTGTTCGATAACTACATAGGCTACATTTTCTTTGATTGCTACTTACTTTCTTTCAGGTGCCACCAGACTTTTCATTTGGATTATACGAACTGGATTGGTCTGTTTTTGAAGCACACACTTCTTGGGCCGGCAAGATTTGCCCCGCTTTCGACCAAGCTGGGATAAAGTCAACAGTTTGTGGACCAGAATCTTTCACACCGGATCATAAACCCATTATGGGGCCCGATCCTAGATTACATGGTAAGTTTAACTTAATATCACATCTTTATGTTTATACTATGTTCAGCTATAATCATATAATGGCTGTTTTGAAACAAGTCCCAAATAATTTTGCATTCAACAAATTTAGCATGAAAAAAACATGAATTTGCACCTTCCACTGATAAGTGTTTCAGAAAAAGCCGGTATATCTCGTCAAGAACTTCGTTTGATGCGTCAGAACATTTTAACAAAAAATTTAAGTTGTTTATTAAATTTATTTTCAAACCTTAGTGTGTGTAGATTAATTTTGGCTTATATATCCATGTATCTTATTGCTGTGTTAGTGATAAGCTTTGATATCAAACTTATAAAAACTTATTAAATTTGTTAATGAAAAATATAAATATTATTTAGATTGTGTAAATTATAAATATTTTACATTCAAATTATAAAAGGTATGAAAAATATCTTATAAAAATTGTTTAAGATCCGAATTCTATGAATGTAAAAAATAATAATATTTTACTTTTGATAGGTTTATTTCATAACTGTGGATATAATTCCGCCGGCATGATGTTGGGAGCAGGCTGCGCCAAACAAATGGCGAAATGGATAATAAATGGAAGGTATATTATCAACTTACAACAAATAAATTATGCTGTATAAAAAAAAACTTTTATAGAATGCATATTTTCTTTTTTAAGGCCAGATTTCGACATGTTTGCTTACGACATACGACGATTTTCACCCAAACAGATGAATGATACGAAATGGGCCACTGAGAAAAGTCACGAAAGCTATGTGAAAAATTACAGCATAGTTTTCCCACATGACGAATCTTTAGCTGGGCGTAATTTACATCTAGACCCACTACATGATGTACGTATCAAATACAATATCTTTGTAATATACACATTAATATTTAAATTAAATTATTGCACATATTTTTATTTATATAAGTACCATTATATGTATATATATATATATATATATATATATATATATATATATATATAATGTTTACCATTTCAAAATGCATTTGTATATTTATTTTAAAATATTTATCTCAGGAAATGTTGGCATATCACGCAGTTATGGAAGAGAGACATGGTTGGGAACGTCCAGGTTACTTCTAGAAGACAAAGTCAAATCACCAGATGCTAAAACAGCAGCACCTGTGACAACATATGACTGGTATGGCAGTTACGGCCACCAAAAATCACCAGACCAGAGATATGTAGAGAAATTAAAAGGAGAATATCGGTTTGGATTTCCCGAATGCCATGATATCGTAAGTCTTTGACAAATATTTTTATGAAACTTGAATTCTATTTACTTATATCAATATTTTGATTATGTTAATAGATTGCTTCCGAAGCAATGGCGTGTCGAAAGCAGGCAGCTTTGTTCAATATGAGCTATTTTGCAAACTATATTTAACAGGACCTGATGCCCAGCAAGCCAGTGACTACATATTTACTGCAAACACAAACAAACCTACAACAAGTCAGTGTTGCTAATTATTAAAATTATTTAAGGCGAAAGATTCTTTACACTTGCTATAGTTTTACATATAATTAAATAAAAAGTATTAAACATTTAGAATTATCATTATAAGTTATCTCGATAACGATATTATTCAACCAATCACAATCAATCAATTATTTTTATTTTTTAATTTGCAAATTTATCGCATAATATTTATTTTTCAAATAACTATCAGCTAACTTTTTAGGAGTTAAGTAACTGCATCTAGCTTTTAGTTTCAGTTCTTTTCCTTGTCCAAATGTTTGGACATTTTTTGTATATTCATAGAAGATATAAATTTTATGAAATATGTAATCCTACAATTTCAGAACGGTATACACATGTGCATTAAATCAGAATGGTGGCGTAGAAGCAGATGTAACTATATCGGCCATAGATCCTGGAGTCGGAAATATCACAGATCCAATATTCAAGGTAAGAAATAGAACAAAATAAAAGGGTTGGCTTGTTTAATTTACCCAAGAAACTAATAAACTTCATGTTCAACCAATTTCCAACCAGGGTCGAGGATTCTATATAGTTGCTGGAGGCGCATCGGCTTATCACACTTATGTTCACATAAAGTCAATTCTAAGAGAAAAAAATTTCAAGTGCCACATTAGAGATGTCACTGATCAAATGGGAGTTTTATCGATACAAGGGCCTAATAGGTATATAATTTAACAAAATTAATAACTTAATCATATTTTGGATATCAGAATAGCTCAATAACCTTAAATCATAACTTAAGAACCATAAATAACTGTACATTAAAATATTATAGCCGTGAAATACTAAAACAGATGACAAATGCAAACCTGAGTGATGAGGCGCTTCCACCAAATTCAACAACATGCTCACGATTAAGGATGGATTATGTAAGTTTTAAAAATCAAAGATCACAATTGATCTCTTAACTGTGATTGATTTAAAATTATTGCATAATTAACCGCTATTAATCTCGAAAATCACATCTTATGCAAATCCAAAACTAATATTAATTAAAATATTCATATTTAATTATTATATATTTAGTAGTTATTATATAATTATTCAGAATTTGGTTGAATTATTAGGTTCTGTCTATTAAGAACTTCAGAGAATAAGCTCATTATGACTACAATGCACTCGAGATATTGACTCTTTTATAGGACTTTCACTAACATTTTGTGCTCGGAAAACCCTTCAACTCCAAACTTTAAAATTGAAATTCCAAGATCTACTGATCTACTGAATCATCCAATATTATAATATATTGAACTTAAATTACTTGTAATTTGAATGTTCATTTTTAGCTAAATCTTATGTATGTCGTGCACTTCGTGTAAGTTTTGTGGGAGAGCTAGGCTATGAATTGCATATGCGAAATGAAGACTGCGTGCCAATTTTTCGAGCTTTGATGGATGTTGGAAAATCTAAAGGACTTAGAAATGCAGGATACAGAGCCTTATACTCATTAAGTAGTGAAAAGGGTAAATATATAAGATATATTATTTTATTAAAATTAGACATTTTCACAACTCATAGCAGCTGTAATATTATTGAGATACGTATCATCTAACTAACCAGCAGCCAACGTTTAATCTTCCATTAGTGATACTATTTATACATATTTTTTGGCCTGATTATTAGGGTACCATTTATGGCATTCTGACCTGCGGCCTGATGATACGCCAATAGAAGCAGGATTGGCATTTACATGCCGAAAGACTGGAGACTACATCGGAAAAAGCAGCCATTGACGAACAACGCAAAAATGGCATCAGGCGAAAATTGGCTTTTTTCACTATGGATGCTCAAGTTAGTAAATTGTTTAAAAAATGCACAACTTCAAAAATTTACAAAATAATTATGTAAAACTTCTAATCAAAATTTTACAAAATGGGCTAATTAACATACTTTTTGAACCATGTTTTGTTGGGGATGGGTTTTAACCCCTTCCAGAGTATTTTATTGTATGTAAACAATATATACACCGAAGAATAACAAAAATAAGGATATTCAGAAAGGAATATGTAGTAATTTTATATAAAGGTAATATTACCTGTGTAGAGTCCAACCGGACAGCTACTGGTGGTTTGGAAATAATGATTTGATCGCATTGAGAATTGACAAACTGATAACTGCTTATTTATATATGAATAACACAACACTGTGCAGAAACTGACTCGACTTATTACACAATAGAAACTAATGGCACTGAAACGAAATTGTGACAAAAGACTTAAAAAAATCGCCATAGAATAAGCCCTAGACTATATAATAATAAATGAAACTAGTGACATCGTGCCTTAAGGCAAATTGCTGAAACTTCCCGTACCAAAAATTATTTTTTGATTAAATAAAGATTAAAGTTTGTTTCAAACTTCGAAAAAAATAGATTTTTGAGAAATTTTTAATTTTTGAAAAAGTTGACTTTTTTGGCAGAAAGACTTTAAAAAAATTATTTTTATTTTGAAACATTTTGGAAATTTTGAACTTTTTATCAAAGCAATCGCTCTGCTTTATCTGCATAGAGACGAAATATGGAAGCGCGTAAGCGCCACGTCGCCGTCTAATGAACAAACAATGTCACGGAACTCATAGAAATGTTAACAAAATTGATACATATTATTAAATAAATAAATATCTGATAATTTGATGAGCATATGTCTAATGATCACTTTTGACCGTCAATGGCATTTTTAGATCTATCTAGTCTAGATCTCCGAAACCGCTAGACCTGCCTTCCTAAAAATTTGATCAGTTTTTCATCTTGTCAATCAAGTAATATGTTTTTTCAATTATTAAAATCGAACGCTCCGTTTATTTAAAAACTGAGTTACCGTTTTTGGTACTTTTTGCCCTGTTTTTTCGGAATGACTAGACCTGCCTTTGCCAAAAACTAATCAGCACGTCTCCTTATCAATACGAATCGAATGTTCTTTAATTATTCAAATTGGTTGATCGGTGTTCCCGAAATCGTCGACGAAAATTTGTATCCGCACGCACACATACATCTATTTTTTCTAAGAAATTTTCAGAAACCTTTGAAACGTTAAATTATAAAAATATTCATTTTCGATTTTTGTGCGATTACTATAACTTACCCAACGGGTAGTTAATAATAAAATAGTGTAGTTACTCGAATAATTATCAATCAATTGATTGATTGACAAATTTTGCAAATTCTTACTATTTAAAGCGAGTACTTACAAAGTTTTATTGATTGGATTTTGATTTTTTGAAATCGGTTCAGATATTTGCTTAGGCAAGTTAAACGAGAATAATCTACCATTTATTAATAATTTTAGGTGCCAATATGGGGCTTAGAAGGCGTTTGGCGAAACGGTGAAATCGTCGGTCATCTTCGACGCGGCGAATATGGTTACACATTACGCAAACCAATTGGCCAAGCTTACATTTCTCGTCCTGATGGAGGCGTTATTGACGCAGATTTTCTCAAAACTGGAAAATATCAAGTAGAAGTAATGGGAAAACTATATGACGCTAATTGTCATTTAAGAAGCCCGTTCGATCCAAAAGGTAAAAGGGTCAATGGCGATTACAGTGATCAACATAATGTTGAAGAAATTTAAACAAAGGTGACGTAATGAGGGCAAATTATAATTATCAGCAGTGGATAGCTTTAAGTTGCTTGTAAAAGTCTTATTCTTAATTTTTTACTTATGAGTTTGATGATATTTTGAGTTACTTACAAAATTCAATAGGATTCTTAAAAGTAAAATTATATTTCAAGATAGTCCTCTTAGATAATTTATTATAATATTACCAATTAATATTTTATCTACTTCTCAGTCCAGTTTTTAATGCTTCTTTCATTAAAATGATAAGTTTGAAGCTTTCTTTAATAAGAAATTTATTAAATTAAATTCAAACAAATTTAAATTTTATATCCTGTTAGAGAACACTGTCAAGATATTACTAGTTCATAAATATTCATACAAAGATATATGAGGTAAGAAAATGCAATCACAAATTATATTTAAGTTAAGCTAAATAACTATTTTTGTACTTATATTAAGTGCTTAAGTATTAAGAGATATTAAGTGTATTTTAGATGTATATATACAGTTGGCCACTTCACATTTATTACGAGCTTATGATTTTTGTTAATAAAAAAGTTTCTTTAATAATATATTTCTTCTTATAAAATTACTTACCATTAAAAAATTCTTATAAAATAGTAAAATATGCAAATTATTATTTTATATGATAATTACCAAAATCTATTTTGCTAAAGGATTTGCATGTATTGTTATACTTGAAATTCTAACTTCTGTTGTTGGTTTATAGTTTTGGGATTGACAGGAATTTTTCTAATTCATCTAAAGTATCAAAACCGTCTATCACTCTGAAAAAATATAAAACCAATATAGTTTAATAAAATTGTATGGTTGTATATAATATTACACACATGTATTTTGGGGAAGCTTACTTTGCAAAAACTGTATATTTTAAATCTAGGCTGGGTTGCTCAGAATAAGTTATGAAAAACTGGCTACTATTAGTATTTGGTCCATTATTCGCCATTGATATCATGCCTCTCTCATTATGCTAAAAATAAAATATGTTTATTCATGAGAAAAGAGAATATTATGTAAAACAATCTTTTTTCTAACCTTCAGATTTTCTTTAAATTCATCTTTGAATTTTTTATTCCAAATGCTGGTACCGCCTTTACCAGTACCAGTAGGATCGCCAGTTTGTACTATGAAACCTTTTATATTTCGATGAAATAAACAACCATTGTAATAATCACTAGCACATAATGCTAAAAAGTTTTCAGCAGCTAAAGGACAATCTTCACAAAACACTTCTACTTTCATATCACCAACATCTGTGTGAATCGTCACTGACTAAAAAATAATTGAAAAAGATACTTTTTAACACTTGTCTATGCATATAGTTAAAAGTAATAAATGAAAAATAGTCGTTTTATAAATATTGCAAGTTAAATTAAAGTTGCAATTTACTGAAGAAGCACAGCAGATATGGATAATAGATATGGAAAAAGATATTCAATGTAAAAAATCAGCAATCAAACAGTTCTGAATATTCATGTTAGAAATCGCATAAAGTGGATTGCATTTAGGTTTCTGTCTGTTGTAATAGAATTTAAAGGTGACAGTTGAAACTAACTATTACATTCAGGCTTAATTTTATAACATGTGGATAAAAACTATATACAGAAAATATAATTTCATATTAAATTTAATTTATATACAAAAATGTTGTTATTAAATATATCAGATGAAGCTAAAATTATTGTGTGTAAGTAATATTAATACATTATATTATATTTAATTAATAATTTATATTTAAAATAACTCACCATTTTAGAATATAAAATTATCTATTGGTTTATAATTACTCAGTTGTATAACTAAACAAAACCGTCGAAATATATTAAATGTTAGTGTAAAATATTTTTATGTTGAAGACAAAAATTTTAAAATGTAAGGTTAATTTTTATATCAAATGTCAAACGAAAGTTTTTCATATGCGCGTTGTGGTCATACTGTATGTGGCAACAATACGTGACATAAACGCACGTTTTCTTTAAGGTGGAAATGTATTAAATATAAGGTTAAGTTTAGCATTTATATTTTATTAATAAAGTAAACTTTATAATAAAATTTATTTAAATTTCTAAATTATGCAACTCAAAATGAATAAAACTAATTTTAATATAAATAAAATTAAACAAATTTTGCTTGATGAGAACTCATTTATCACAAATGTATTTTCTAAAGTTGATCTTCCAAGTCAAAACAGAGGTATGTAAAGAGACCATTTATAAAAAGAAATATAATTAAATAATTAATATAACCATGTTTATTTAGATGACGATGAAATTCCCGCTGAATCAAAAGTCGGAAAAAATAAACTTTTAAAAGCCACATCTTCAAAAGGACTTAAAGCATCTCGAGCAAAAAGTTTGGAAGAGTTGCAAGCACGTTTAGAGAGTTTAAAAAAAAGAAAACATTCACATATAAAGATAAATTATCCAAAAGGCGTTACGAACACATATAAAGAAAAAGATTAAAAAAGGAGAAAGATTGAATACTAAAACAGTAAAAGTACCTAAAGCAGGAGAAAGTGAAGTTAAATCAGAAGAAAATGATGACACTGAAAAGAATATTAAGCCATCGAAACCTGTATTTAATAGTCAAGGCAAAATGGTCTTTTCAAATTTGACTTTTCGGATGCAAATAATAAGAAATTCAGTAAGTATTTAAAAACAACACTAATTTTAACTGAGTAAAATTGTCTTCAAATTGTATTGTACAGTAATAATGTTCATTCATATTCTATGACCAGTTTTTGTCATAAATTAAGAATTATTTATGAAATTTTACTATATTTGTGTATTTCTAATTTGACTGTGCCCATTTTAGAAAAGAAGGCTGAGAATGACCCGCAGAAGATACTTGAAAAATTAAATAAAAATAAAGAAAAACTAGAAGAATTGAAGTCTCAAGGAGATGTTGAAAAAGCGCAAGAATTAAAAGAAAAATTAGCCTGGAAAGCTGCATTAGCTAAAGCAGATGGACAAAAAGTAAGGGACGACCCTGACTTATTGAAAAAATCAGTTAAAAAACAAGAACAAATTAAAAGATCCAGTGCCAAAAAATGGCAAGCTAGGAAAGAAGGAGTTAAAAAGGCACAGGAAGAGAGACAAAAGAAACGAGAAGCAAATATAAATAAAAGAAAAGATGATAAGAAAAATAAAATTAAAAAAGGCAGTTAAAAGAGGCAGAGTAATACCAGGTTTTTAATTCTTAGATATTTGTGTTTAAATTTATTTAGGTTTAAATAAAATTCATATAAAAATCATTATGAGCTCACACTGAATATATTTGTATATATATATATGGATATTTATTTCACATTCTTATTTGAAATTTGCCACCTTTTGTTACATATTTGACCCCTTTAAATGGTTTATACTTTTCCCCATACATGTCCAACCTATTAACTTTAAGACCAGATACAGCGAGCTGACTAATAGTAAAATGAACATTTATGGAAGGATTTGATTCCACTGTACTGGCACCACTTGTAACTGATACCTATAACATATTTTTTGGTAATGTAGTTATTAAAATGTAAATTCAAATTGTTTAATAAAATATAAATTGAAATTTAGCTTACTGTTCCTCTGATATTTGGCAGTTTTGTTACATCAATACGACCAACTTCCCAATGTAATATTTTAGTTACAGGGTCAAATGAGTATTTTCCTTGATTTGCTACCAATGAGCAATTCAAAACGTATTTTGGTAAACAAACTTCTAAACGCACACCTAAATTCGGAATTTAGAAAGTTAAAGGTAAAAAGAAACAAATTCAATTACTGATTTCAAAATTGGATAAGAAAATTTACCTTCCACAGTTCTACCTAACGTTTGCTTTGGACCAACTGTAATATCTAAACGGCCTTGCTCATTGGGTTTAAAGGTGAGGTGGTGTCTTACATATATTGGAATAGCTACAACACTTTGCATGCCTATATGATATGATAATAATCTAAAGTTACCATCTGGTGGAATGAATGACAAAATTCTTTCACTCTGAAAAAAATTAAGTATACTTAATTAGGAATGCCCTTCAGACATTATACCAAAAATATTATTTGTTTTACTAATGCATAGAATGCTTATCTAATTCTTGAAAGTGAAATAATATTGTATCCAAAATAAACAAACCTCCCATCTCTTGAATCTAACACAAGGGTGGAATGACACATCATCAAACAATCTTGGATTCATGAATGAAAGTGTTAAATCTGGCATACCGCTCAGCTTAATGCAACAATCAATCTATAAATATACAACATAGTATAAAAATATAGAATTGATTTATTGATATAAACATAACTTTCATACATATCCTTGAATTTCTGCAAATACCGTAGCACCCGATTTATCAATTATTGCATCAACTTCCTCTACAACATCAAAATATGCCTCATTATTGGTATATTTAACACCTGTTCGTCGCCAGGGAACATTTGAAAGCTGACCACTTGGAAGTGTGCCACTAACACTTGAACAAAAATTATTTTATGCCAACTTGGTCAAAATTTCAATCTTTTTGTAAAACAAGGTACTCACTTTGATTTCCCGGTAACCGTATTTGCAATTGTTCGTAATATGTTTGGAGGTTTTATAAGTTCTTTCAATATGTTACTTTCTGTTGCTAATGGAAAGCCATTGTCTAACATTTCATCGAGCAATTCATAAACAACAACATAGTTTTCTTTTATTATGGTCTCTGTGCATTCAGAAAAATAATCCACAAATGTATCAATTACTCTGTGTAAAAACTCTATTACAAATAAAGGTGCCACTTCTTGTTTGCAAGCTGCTACGAGGCTTATTCCATCACGTTGAACAGATACTAAATAATGATGTGGTGTGGGAATAACAGGCGGTACATCCTAAAGTGATTAATTTATCATTAATAACTATTTACTCTTTGTTCTAACACAAATCAAGAGAGATATAGAATTTGATTGAATAAAAACATTTTCAGTTTTTACATTTAGCCTCTTTAATTTAAATGTATTTTTTTATCTATCGTTTTTGTTATTAAAAAGCTATAAACATAAAATATACTTCTAGCATATAAATTAAATGATGAAACATTTAAACAGTCTTTCCAGCTTTTATAAAGCTGATGATCTTAAATAGTACTGTACAAAAATAGAAAATTGAATTACTAAATACTTTGTAATTCAACGTTCTTAGTAGATTAATTTTAATATTATAAAATTTTAATAGAATATTATTTGTATAAAAAAGTTTTTGTTAAGCAGTATTAAAATAATAGAAAAAAGTTTGCTACAATATTTGATTGATCATGTATATAAATAATTTCATTGACATACGTTTGGCGTTGCCCTTTGTGCATCAAGAAAATAATCGCAAACTGAACGTGAAACAACACTTCTCCAATGTTTCTCCAGGAAGACATCACTAAAATTTTGGCACAATTAAATAACTTTTAGACACAAATAAAAATATCAGAATTAAAAATTACCCAGAGTTATTTATTATAAACAAGCTATGTATCATTATATCGCTAAGTGCAAACACGAGTTAAGTGTTTTTCTGTGAAGACGTTTATGATATTTTTCTTTTATTGTTATGCTGAAATATTTGTTGATGATCATTTATCATATTAATTTAAACAAAAATAATAATGTTTGGCATGACATGTTTCAACCACGTTTGCTAAAACTTTCATTTGACAGCTAAAAATGGTAGCTGGTGACAGCTGTCACCTGTCATTGTCAAATTTATTATAATCAATAAATGGATTAGAAACAAAAGCCAAAACGGAGTTATAGTTCATATATTAATATATTATATATGTACTTTTATGTCGTGGCTATCTTATTTAGCTATTATATTTATTAGAAAATTGTGTACTTTTGGTAACTCTTTTATTATCAAGATTTTATCTATTTAGAACCATATATGAACTCATAGATAAAAATAAGTATAAACTAATATGTATGAACTAATACTGAATAGAGCATTAGGGATCGTCACATCGTTTTTAAGAAATATGAAATAAATTATATCGGTTGAATACTTAAATTTCTCATTTTCAAAATCATTCACCGGGTTGCTGCCACAACACGCAATTTACTGATTTGTCAATAAGATTTAAATATAAATAAAAATAAGCCGAAATAGTTGCTCATTATAAAAACCATATACTTAATATACCATATAATGATTTGATTACTGAGTCAGTATTATCTACTTCTTCAAATAGTTCTATTAATTCGTCTTTTAATTTATCTTAATTTTACTAATTTTTTTTCTTCTGAATCCATCTCTTCTGCTAATGCTATTGCATATTCTTCCAATTCTGTCAAAAATTTTACTTGATACTGGGCTTTTTTCGTACATCTTTAATAGTTAGATTATATATATTATATGTATTCAAGTATAATTATATATTACAATTTACAAACAGGCATACTACCTCTGAGCTACGTCCACCACTTTCACTATTTTCAACTATACTTTTTTTTCTAAGTGAATATTTTTATACCAGATATGTAGTAACCATACAACAAATTTTAATGACAGCGGATAGGAATGCTAAAAAGCAGGATAATATAAAAACAATGAACTGATTTAACTGAATATATTATAACATTTTATCACCAAAAAATTAAGTTTTTACAATTGTTCCGTAGCGGTAAGCCACAGCTACAAAACACTTTAAAGTTAACAATTGTTAACTATGTGGACATGCACAGAATGTACAAATGGATACAAAATATTATACAAACTTACAAAACTAAATGTAGAGTACTAGATAATGTGGATACTAGATATTACCCATATATTATCATTCAAACACCAAGTTTTACCACCACAAACAATAATTCACTATGTAATTAATAAATAATAAGTAAAAAATGAATTATATTTTTATGGCCTATTGTTATCTATTCAAGGTCTTATTTACATTTAAGTACAAATAATATTGTGTTGTTAAGAAATATGAAATTGTCTTGTACTTTCAGATGTTAAAATATTTCAATATTAAAAATATTTAGTATCAAATATCAAATAAGAAAATTGTAAAATTGATAAATGTATGTACAAAGTTGCTCTACTTAAATTATTACATGTGGAAACTATTTCATTTAAGATTAAAAAGTTAAATGATTGATAAGCGATTCCTAAAATGAATCACTAAAATATTACGTCTTTTTGAAATTTCTGCCCAATCTACTTTTCATACGAAGTTTTCTGTTTGTAGCAGAACTGGATTTGATTTCATTATCAACTGGTTTATGAATTAGATGAACAATATTCCAAACATGTCTGCATCTTTTTGATTACCTAACAGTTCAACACAGTTCATCCTAAACAAAATTCACATATGTATTGTTAATTCATAAAATATAAAAAAAATATGTATCAAAGTTTTTCATTTAAATAATTATTTTCCAGGACATAATTTGTAATAAGGAACTTAAGCTTGAATATTGAATACACTAACAAAGATTGTAAAATCAGAAAATTATTACTAATTTGCGAAGATAAAACTCAAAAATTTTGGTTGCAGATATAGGAAGATAAAAATAATAACTAGTTGGTTTTGATATTTAGCCTTGAGGCAAATTACATGAACTTCCCGATATGTGTAAATAATCGACTTGATCAAAAAAATGTGTAAATAATATACTTCATCAATCCTACTTTTTAAAAAAAAAAACGATAATAATTTTAGCAAAGTTTGACGAATTTTTAAAATTAAACTACTTGTCGTAATGCTGTAATATTACAGTAAGTTCTATAAGACCATGATGTATATCGCCAAAAAAGTTCCATGAAAAAAGACTTAAATTTTTTTTTAACAGTTAATTACAAGAAAACGGCTCGGTAGATTTTTACCTAAAATTAATCAGCATCATTCCCAAATGATATCTTTCGAACAGTTTTTGATTTTTCAAAATCGGTTGGTAGGATGAGCTTAAATGTGGACGAAAATTTAACACTTTTTTTCAACAGTTAATTACAAGAAAACGGCTCGGTAGATTTTCACCTAAAATTAATCAGCATCATTCCCAAATGATATCTTTCGAACAGTTTTTGATTTTTCAAAATCGGTTCGGTAGGATGAGCTTAAATGTGGACGAAAATTTAACACATTTTTTCAACATTTAATTACAAGAAAACGGCTCGGTAGATTTTCACCTAAAACTAATCAGCATCATTCCCAAATGATATCTTTCGAACAGTTTTTGATTTTTCAAAATCGGTTCGGTAGGATGAGCTTAAATGTGGACGAAAATTTAACACTTTTTTTCAACAGTTAATTACAAGAAAACGGCTCGGTAGATTTTCACCTAAAACTAATCAGCATCATTCCCAAATGATATCTTTCGAACAGTTTTTGATTTTTCAAAATCGGTTGGGTAGGATGAGCTTGAATGTGGACGAAAATTTAACACTTTTTTTCAACAGTTAATTACAAGAAAACGGCTCGGTAGATTTTCACCTAAAACTAATCAGCATCATTCCCAAATGATATCTTTCGAACAGTTTTTGATTTTTCAAAATCGGTTCGGTAGGATGAGCTTAAATGTGGACGAAAATTTAACACTTTTTTTCAACAGTTAATTACAAGAAAACGGCTCGGTAGATTTTCACCTAAAACTAATCAGCATCATTCCCAAATGATATCTTTCGAACAGTTTTTGATTTTTCAAAATCGGTTCGGTAGGATGAGCTTAAATGTGGACGAAAATTTAACACTTTTTTCAACATTTAATTACAAGGAAACGGCTCGGTAGATTTTCACCTAAAATTAATCAGCATCATTCCCAAATGATATCTTTCGAACAGTTTTTGATTTTTCAAAATCGGTTGGGTAGGATGAGCTTGAATGTGGACGAAAATTTAACACTTTTTTTCAACAGTTAATTACAAGAAAACGGCTCGGTAGATTTTCACCTAAAACTAATCAGCATCATTCCCAAATGATATCTTTCGAACAGTTTTTGATTTTTCAAAATCGGTTCGGTAGGATGAGCTTAAATGTGGACGAAAATTTAACACTTTTTTTCAACAGTTAATTACAAGAAAACGGCTCGGTAGATTTTCACCTAAAACTAATCAGCATCATTCCCAAATGATATCTTTCGAACAGTTTTTGATTTTTCAAAATCGGTTCGGTAGGATGAGCTTAAATGTGGACGAAAATTTAACACTTTTTTTCAACAGTTAATTACAAGAAAACGGCTCGGTAGATTTTCACCTAAAACTAATCAGCATCATTCCCAAATGATATCTTTCGAACAGTTTTTGATTTTTCAAAATCGGTTCGGTAGGATGAGCTTAAATGTGACGAAAATTTAACACTTTTTTTCAACAGTTAATTACAAGAAAACGGCTCGGTAGATTTTCACCTAAAATTAATCAGCATCATTTCCAAATGATATCTTTCGAACAGTTTTTGATTTTTCAAAATCGGTTCGGTAGGATGAGCTTAAATGTGGACGAAAAGTTCAACACTTTTTTTCAAATTACAAAGAAACGGCTTGGCAGATCGTCACACAAAACTGACAACGATAGTCCTCACCGAAATACATCAAATGGCTTTTAAATTTCTAAAATCGGTTCAGGCGTTTTTGAGAAAACGTCGATCAAAAGTCTAATTTTGACAAATGCCAAAAAGACCATACTGATTTTTGCAAACTTTGACGAATTTTTAAAGCTGAACCAGTTGTCGTAGGGCCGTAATATTTTAGTATGATCTAGAAGACTATGGTATCTACCGTCAAAAAAATAATCATAAAAATCGTCGAATTTTTTTTTTTTAAAACTTTATTACAAGAAAACGGCCCGGCCGATCTCTACCAAAAACTAATCAGCACGATTCCCAAACAATATCTTTCGAACGGTTTTTGAATTTTCAAAATCGATTCATAACTGCGGGCTAAAACGTGGACGAAAGAGTTTTCACTTCTTGCTATTACGAAGAAACGGTTTGGCCGATCGTCGCACAAAACTGACAAACAATAGTCCTCATCGAGATACATCGAATGGCTTTTAAATTTTTGAAATCGGTCCAGCCGTTTTTGAGGAAACGGCGATTTACGGCAAAAAATCTGTTGGTGCACACGCACACACACACACACACAACACACACACACACACACACACACACACATACTTTTTCCAAATTTGGTCTCATTCGATTCAGAATGGCTTGAAACGTCGAGAAAACATAAAATTAGCGAATCGGATTTTTTGATGAAAACATAAACTTCTCTTCGGGAAGTTAAAAAATTTAAAAAACTTGTATTTTTATTAGATATCATTTGTATCTTCAGCTTACCTTGGTCATTCTTATTAATTGATCAAGTGATCCGCCGCAATTCATAACTCTACCAATATTTTTGCTATTAATTCCAGGCAGTTTCATAAGAAAATCATAAATTCCCGTATTGTAATGGTCCGTTGCATATTCAATGTCAACAGTGTCGGCATCAGTGCCCAAAATTGCAGCTTGCTTAGAATCGGGTTGCTCTTTATCATGCTTTATAAAGATAAATTGTTGGTAATGAAATGAAAAATAAAATGTTGATAGCGGAGTGAATGTGTAGAACATTTCCAAATAATGCTATCAATTGCATGCATATTAGCAAAATATCATTAAATAATAAATCTAGTTAA